GCTACACAGGTACCCGGTACACAGGTACCCCCGCTATCTATCACACCTGCTACACAGGTACCTGGTACACAGGCACCCCTGCTACACATCACGCCCGCTACACAGGCACCCCCACTACATGGACACCCCCGCTAGATGGCACCCCTGCTACACAGGTGTGAGTTAATGCTAGCTTTCTCTTCATCCCATGGCAAAAAGTAATCAAATATTATTCCTAATTTTTAAAAGAATTTTGCCACAGAGGGCATGTTTATTCACTGGTGAGAGAGAGAGAGAGAGCACTGGCCTCCCCACCCCCAATGAGGGATGGCCATGCTGCAATCCTTTCTCCTCCATCTTCCCTTCCTCTCAGGATTGTGGGCATGCATGCACATGTGCCTGGCAAATTTCTCAAGCTGCCAGGTTTGAGATTTGAACCACAGAGGTCAGTCAGGTAGGATCCAGCTGCCTTAACCACCACATCACTGGCTGACCCATTATTCCTAATTTTTAAAAAAAAATTTTATTTTATTTCATTGAATTCATTATCATCATTTTTTTAATTATTATTATTATTTGACCAGAGTGCGGGAGGAGTGAGAAGGCAAGCCATCAGGTCAGAGACTCAAACCGTGGTTGGTCATGTGGGAATCCAGTGCCCCAACCACCACACACCATCTGCCAGCTCCATAGGCCTAATTTTTATGGTACTGGAAATTTTAACTGACTTTAGAAATCCACTGAATTCATATACTCTTGTTCATTTCTCAAAGTAAATACGTTAGCTCTAAGTTTGTTATGTACAATGTTTCCTTGGTAAAATGAGTTTTTCTTCCTATGAGCTGTATTTGCAGTACTGCTTACAAGACTTGGAAGAAGTAAGGAATTGGTGTCTCTCCCTCACACTCTGTCCTCCTCTCTTCTAGGTCAGTGAACAATTTCCTGATGACTGGTCCGAAGGTAAGAAAAAACTCCTCCAGTTAGGACAGACTTCACTACTCCTAGCACTGACTGAGGACTACACATGCAGATTTGCATTGTATCTGCATCTGTCATGTTGCATGCGTTACAGACAGGAAAACCGATGCCTGGAGTTAGGGCCACACCCAGAATCCCAAGGCAAACTAAAGCTGGAGCCAAGATGAAACTTAAGAGTAGGGATTCTGCCCTTAGGGCCCGAATGTCCAGAGCCGGAGACATCAACAGCCTTTCACCATGCTGGGTCTGAAAGCCACATTTCCAAATGTTCGGTGCCGTGGTGGGGTGCAGCTTCTCACCTTCGAAATGCGGGAGTCCATCTCTATGTGGAAGGGAGTTTCCAGTTGCAACGTTTTCTTTTCTAAGACAGTAATGGCATGAGATTTGCTGAAAATTCATGAATGGTGTGACTTGGGCTCATTTTGAAAAGACACTAGTCTAGAGAATAAAAGTGGGGACCAGAGTTTGATAAAACAGTTTCATTCCTGGTTGTGCCATTTACTAGCTGTGGGGCTTTTAGCAAATTATTTTATGTCACCTCTCTGAGCCTCAGTTTCCTAAGCTATGAAGCGGTACCTATTTCATAAGGTTACTTTGATATTACATGAGACAGCATATTTTTTTTAATCATTTTGTTTATTTTATTTATCATCATTTTTTTTCATCATTGTTATTTTTTAATTTGACCAGAGTAAGACAGACAGAGAAAGAGAGAAAGTGAGAAAGCAAGCTGCCAGGTCCATGACTTGAACTGTGGTCAGCCATGTGGGAGTCCAGCCCCTTTAACCACCATGCCACCTGCTGGCCCCAAGACAGCATACTTTAAATGCTCTCTCTGCTATTATTTTGAAGAGATGGGAGAGAGGGCAGAGAGAGAGAGATTTGGCCGGTTTTCAGCACATACGCCCTGAGTTGAATCTGGATTTCGACCGGCGTCCCTGCAGGCTTACCTGATCTACTCCAGCAGCGTGGCAGCCGGTGCCCAGAGTGGTATTGAAGAATGCAAATACCAGTTTGCCTGGGACCGTTGGAACTGTCCTGAGAGAGCCCTGCAGCTGTCCAGCCATGGAGGGCTTCGCAGCGGTAAGAAAAGCCTCAGCCACAGCTCCCTGGACCCCCTGGTCACAGCCTAGAGCCTTAGGGATGGCCCCCTCCTTTCCTACACCACATTCCTCACCTGGTCTTTACTCCTGGTCATCGCCTTCTCAGGACTGTCTCCTTTCCTTCTGCACCTCCTCTTTCTTACCTATAGGCTTTTTTCCTTTTTTCCAAACACCTCCCTGCTCAACAAATGGCTCTCACCTCACCCTCAATCCTATACCGCCCTTGGCCTCATTGCGGGCTAAGGTTTCCTCACAGTAAAAGTAACATGGGAAGGTGGTGGGATCACTGCTCCCCATACGTCAGCCCTTTCCTTCAGAGGGCTCAGCAGAGAGGTGCTGGGCAAGCGGAAACTGGTTTGAGACCAGCGTCCTATGAGGAAGATAGC